GACTTTCACCCATCCGATCGAAGGAGAGGTCTCGTGCACGCACGTGTAGGCTCGACCAAGCATGATCACTTCCTACACGCATGTTTGTGAAACCTGAACTTGATCGATTTTCCGAAGGTCTAAATGCCTGCCCCCCTTATAATATGAATTTCGAAATCCCTTTTCGTTTCACCGACCGGGAGTGTTTGAGAGACCGGGAATTCCGGAGATATTGGGAACGCTGCTGCTCGTCAACCCGATCGAGGGCGGACCCGCTGAGCTTCCCTTACTTAACCGAAACCGAACGTATTTGCGAGTGGGATCTCGATTGAGCTTTGGGACATATCACTCATCTCCCCAGCTACTCTAGCCCATACACGTGTTACATCGCTGTGGAACCCGGTGTCGCGCGCGGCGGTCCCACACCCAGACGCAAAGTGAATTTTGTGTTGGACCTCACGGTCGTGTCACGTAGGAGTCTCTTTAGTCACTTCAATGAAACACCACTCCGACCGTGCACGCGTGCTATACCTCTCGCGACTCCCTACAACACGTTAGAGATCCTGCGAGGTACAACATACCTCCACCTGCGGAAGCTGTCACCATCCCTTAGGTGGGCGTATCCCCGCTGAGCTACTGACCCACGTGCGAAGGTTTTTACATGCAATTGCAGAGGTAGGCCAGCCGAGGGCGTTTTCTCGATCGCAGTAGCATAGGCATACGTGCTGCAGAACGCCTTAAGACTGACCCGTATATCGTGCCCCGATGTGCTAACTCCCCCGGACCAATTATCTGATCAGGTCGACTTTTCCGGACAGTCTTCCATGCTTAGCTAACTATGACCGTGACCCTATGTTTCCTCTGCTGACCTTATGAGAAAAAACAGAGTCAAGCCCTTTTGTTATCTCCCTCTCTCAAAAGAAATCCTAGATGAATGACTCCCTAAGCTCTGACCACTTATGATCTCATTCAAAGATATATATATATATATATATATATATATATATATATATATATATATAAGTATGTATGTAAGTCAGGAAAGCTGAATGAGCGGTAAACCTCACTTTCACAATTGTTGTGTCCCGTTATCCGAATATCCCAGATGATCCCAAATTCAGAAGACAGTTCAATGCCCAACACCTGTGCAGATGCAAGAAATCGCATACACGCATACAAATGCAAACACAGAATGCGCTACAAGCGTCAACCTTAAACCCATTCATAGTAGGTCCCTCACACCCAAAAACCTTGAAAACAGAATTCCTTCCTAATCCTGACTCCTTTTACCCCAGCCCTTCACATTTTCAAAGACCCCTCAGTGTGACTTGGACAAATTAGGCATAGATACAGGGGAAAGATTTATCCATTTCCTTCTTAGGTCTTGTCTTAGGTGTGGGTATCAAGCCATGTGGAAGTTCAGTTGGAGATATACCGACCTGTTATCCAATGATAACAGAATTTGCAGTTCCTTACGGGTTTCTTCCGTAGTTCTCTCCAAGAGTGATGAACATGTAGACACAGCACAGTCCGAAAGAATCTTAACGCCTTCTCTTTGGGTTCTAGAATATCTCTTCTAGACTTGTGACCCACTGCGTAACTTCTACCCTTACATAACTATCAATCCGCCTGTCCGGTTGGTCTAGGCAACGAACAAAATTCATTCCCAACCTCTTCGTCACAGCGTTTCTACTATGTTTCTCCCTTTTTAAAGGTTAATTATGAGCCCCATGTCCCTAGTGACCACAAACAATACCATTCATTCAATTTAGAGAGGAATCACATGATAAAGAGTCATTTCATAATATCAAAGGTGATAAGTCTCTCGGAGTCAAGATCTCACTTATTCCCTCACTAGAATCAAGTGTCAGAGAGTTGGTAATGGACTGAATCAATTATATGGGTAGCAGATATCCGACGATAGATCGATCAGGATACACTCAGATTTTTGTTAGTATCAGGCGGGGAGAGTATAAGTTAATATGACGATGAGGCAGACGTCTTAGAGCATCGCTTCTCTCATCGCTTGGTATATAATAGTATGGTGGTAAGGCAGGCTTCACGGAGCCTCGCTCCTCTTACCACCTAGTATATAAGTTAATATGGCGATGAGGCAAGTTTCTTAGAGCCTCGTTTCTCTCATCGCCTATTATTTAAGTTAATATGGCGATGAGGCAGGCTTCTTAAAGCCTCGCTTCTCTCATCGCCTAGTATATAATATTACAGTGGTAAGGCAGGCTTCCCGAAGCTTCGCTCCTCTTACCACCTATATATGTTAATATGGCGATAAGGCAGGCTTCTTAGAGCCTCGCTTCTCTTATTGCCTAGTGTATAGTAGTATGGTGGCAAGGCAGGCTTCACGGAGCCTCGCTCCTCTTA